AAAGCCACAGAAGCGATCTTATAGGGGTGGAAAATGAGGGGTTTTGGGTGATAGGAATAAACACGCAACAAGTGAATAGTACGTGGTGTATATCGTAACTGTTTTCGAAATAAATAACGACATTTGGCTAATGCTTCACTTAACATTACGACACAAAAATTAGTACATGTATTTAGTTTACCAGAAGACAGGACTAAGTATAAAGTCATAAGTAATGGAAAGGTGATAAATATGATTTAGGGATTTAATAAAATTAAAAAATAACGGGTACTTATTGTCCAATATATAAGCATTTTATATATAATACATAATTATGTTGATATATCTCAATAAACCAGTATTGTTTTTAATTCGAAACACTACTTATCGATAAAGTGAAGTACTGCGAGGCTATGGCAAAATAAAATACAAAAACATCATTTTTTACGATTGATTAAACAGTTTTCTCCATTCACTTGACTCCATTAAAAAAAAACTGTAAGTTTTATAATTATAATTCGCTGGATGATTTTTTTTTCAAGTAAATAATACGTCTCAATCCCGAGATGAGAGGTGTTTTATTTGTCTGTTTCACTTACGTTTTTGATACACGTTTTCATTAAAACACAACACTATTCAAATAACTGCCAGACGGTGGTTTGAACTTTGACCTACAGCACATTCTGCTTCGAAGCAAAATAAATTCCAATATAATATATTTCAGTGAAGAATATTAATTTGAAGTAAAGGGTGTTGAACAATAAACGCATAAACATTGGCGAATTCAGAGGGCCTGGGCTCCCACCGCTTTTGGACGACAAAAAAAAATATATATATATGCAAATATCCATTTTATGTATTTACAGACTCATCACGCCCAGCTTTGGATTGCATACATTTGGTAGTCTAATTCCTTTAGCCGTATGCAAACGTTTGCTGAACAAAGAGGAGGGAAGATCGGTGAAGCCACCCGAATCCCCCATAAACGCTCGCTCTCTCGCGGGTCCCTTCGCGCCCTGTTGTTGGGCCTCTCCTTTCAATCAACTCTGGATCCGCTATTGATAAACTACATCTAAGTCCATTAACATAGAACAGATTGAAAACTAGTAATTAGAACTGAAATGAATCTGAGTTATGATCATGTTAAGATTTACAATATATGTTAATTAGACGATACGTTATTGATCAATAAATAAACAAGATTCAATTCTGCATTCACACATTAACCCCCGATAGTCTGCTGCTTGTGTGTACACAACAATCCGACCGTGAAACACTATGTACAGGGAAATGCGTAGTTCTCGACGACGATATTTTCGAATGTGTCGTATTTTAACTTCTTGAAAATCAACACATTAACATCTTAGGACTAATACAGGGAGTCCCTAGTTTGTGTTTGAAATAATATCAAAAAATGAACTGAAATTGTAATGATGTAAAACAATGCATGTTCTACAATATTGTTATGAATAGAAAATATGCGAAATGACTTCCCCACTGATCAGAATACATTCATGGTGTTAGAAAAAGACAATAAATCAATTTAACTCAAAAATACGCTTTCGAAATGTGCACCTAGTTTGCCCTTGAAGAAGAAAGGTCCACCTTTCGAAAGCGCTCGCGTTATAGGGTATCGTATTTTTGAGCTAAATTGATCAGAATACATGTTATCCCATGTACCACTAAATCCTGCTGGAAATATGTAATTACATTTGAAATACGAAGTTTCAGTATAGCGCCATTAAAACTAATGGTTTTGTACGTAGACTCTCTGCTATAGAAAGAACTGACAATAGAACAGTCAGAAGAACAGTGTTTAACCTTTTCCTTAATTCCTCCTGTTGGGCAACTAAAATCACCTGGTGGCTAGCGCACGCACCATACAGAAGAACAGAGATATACATATTCCTGAGAGCGTATTTTCTCTTTTGGTTAGTATTAAAATAACTAGATATATTACACGTGAATTTCATTTTCGAAAAACCTTATTAACGTCTCAACCGAGGTTAGTTGGTGAAACAGCAATATTTTACAACCCCTAAAAGTGTTTTCCTGAAATAGAATATATATTTTACACATATATATATATATATATATAT